TGTAACATTTGATATTAATCTTAATGATTATTTAAGACTGTTAACTTATCTAAACAGATTATTTTTTTCCAATTATATGATTTTAAATAGTCTCCAAACATTGTGTTTAGTCATAATTACTAACTAGACACGTATTAAACTACAAAATAATCATAACTGAATTTAGTCATAGGCACAGATTTTTTTCAGTCATTAGATCAAAGCACGTTTGGTATTACTAAATGTATTAAATTAAATAAAACAATTATTTTTCTGTAAACACTTATTTGCAACCTAAGAAGTATTGATCATGGCAACAATTGTCATCACAAGATTAGAACATCTATTATTAAAGAATTTTTTTGATTTTTGTGTGTAGGAAATCGACCCCTAAATATTTATTTGTATAGGCATATTGGGTATCAATTTAAAGATTTTATCCTCTAGATGTGCCTTTTGCTGGTTTGGATGATATCCTGTGAAAGCCCTTTTTCCTATAGGCTTTTAATATTTCAGAGTTTGCGCTGAATTCTGTTCTTACATCAAAACAGATGGTCATGAAACAAATTCTACATCCATACAAAAGTGAGGTTATCTTACAGCTGGTAATGTTTTAGTGAATTCAAGGAAAATCCTTATATATAATACGTGAAGGCGATTTCTACGAAACACTACTCCTCCGTTAATAATGGACGGATTTTTACAAACGATGTGTCAAAATTAAGTATTTTTTGTGTAGACGCCCCCTTTCACCAATTCCTGTAATAAAAGTCTTCTGGCTTTGCCCCACAGGCCATCAAAATCCCAATGTATTTCTTATGAAGTAAATATTTTGTTTACTAGACGGATGAATAATTTGTATTAATTACAGCTGTTCATAGTAAACACATGATACATACAAGACCGTTCGTTTTCAGAATGTGTTCGATATCAGTTTCGAAAACTGGAGTGGAGCGAGCGTTCGTTTTCAGAGCGAGTTCGTTTTCAGTTTTGATAACTGGAGTAGAGTGATTGATTACATTATCTTTGAGTCGACTCTTTCAAGTCATCGGATATTGTTACTGTTATTCGTTTTGAAATAACGCCTGTACAGTAATACTTTGCAATTGCTTGAATTCGAGCAACAGGTGCACTAGGTTTTCTATAATCCCACTCGGATTATACGTAAACGAAATTTGCTCCCCATATATTTCTTATGGGAGTTAAATTTAATTTCTGTTTTCCGAGTTCGTTTGGATCTTATACCTGACCGATGTTCATGATTGAGGTCTCAAATTGAAGGTATGCAGGCACAGATTTGCCATCAAGCATCAGCATATATTTATCTTTAGTCCCACTCTGCTTATACGTAAACGAAATTTGCTCCCCATGTATTTTTTATGGGAGTTAAATTTGGTTTTTCTTTTCCGAGTTCGTTTGGCTCTTCTACCCGACCAATTTTCATGATTGACGTCTCAAATTGAAGGTATGCACGCACAGATTTGCCATTAAGTATCGGCATATATTTTTCTAAAAGCCCACTCGGCTTACACGTAAACAAAATTTGCTCCCCACGTATTTCTTATGGGAGTTAAATTTGGTTTTTCTTTCTCAGTTCGTTTGGCTCTTCTACCCGACCGATTTTCATGATTGAAGTCTCAAATTGAAGGTATGCACGCACAGATTTCCCATCAAGCATCAGCATTTATTTATCTATAGTCCCACTCGGCTTATACATAATAGAAATTTGCTCCCCATGTATTTCTTAAGGGAGTTAAATTTGGTTGTTCTTTTCCGAGTTTGTTTGGCTCTTCTACCCGACTGATTTTCATGATTGAGGTTTCAAATTGAAGGTATGCACGCAGATATTTGCCATATCAAGCAACGGCATATACGTAAAAGAAATTTGCTCCCCATGCATTTCTTATGGGAGTTAAATTTGGTTGTTCTTTCCCGAGTTCGTTTGGCTCTTCTACCCGGCCAATTTTCATGATTGTGGGCTGAAATTGAAGGCATGCACGCAAAGATTTCACATCAAGCATCGGCATATATCTACCTACTGTATTACTCGACCAAAAAACATAATTTTATTCATTTTCGAATTCTTTATTTTAAGATGTATTTCACCAGTTATAATTATATAACTCTGCATATTTTGGTCTAAGAACCTTCAGTGAAATACCGGCTTTTATTTAAGCTATTATTTATTCAAATCGTACGAGTTTCAAGCAAAATAGGTGATCAACCAACATAAAAATTATTTTTCATAAGGTTTTTCTATGATTAAAAATCACTATCTCCAGTGTTGTTCTTGTTTTCTTTATGTTTTAGACTCAAAATAATCAGTAAATTATAGGCTTTAATTTGAGCTATTGATAGTTTGAATCAGTTAATCTCAAGATTACTGTATTACTTAATAAAAAATCATAAATTGGATTATTTATCGGATATTATATTTATTTTAACGCTGCGGAGCAGCATGGGTCCTGTAGTATCATAATGTTATTTGTATCAAATGTAAATAAAATACCCCTGGTACAGCAAACCTGCAGACTAAGCAAATTTCCATTTGCCTAATTGGATTTACACTAAAATGTCTCCTTAAGCAGGAAACCCACTGGTCCGACACTCTCCGACACGACACCTTCCGTCAAGTCTCCGACACCTTCCGACAAAATTACTTTGCATAACTTTAAATGGACTGTAACCCACTAGTCCGACACGACACCTTCCGATCCGACACGTCACGACAACATTGCTCTCTGAGGCATTCTTGTCGGATCCGTCATTTCTCCACTCTGCGTGCACTAGGCCTAGATTTAGTCACTGTCTAGCTTTGTGTGTGTGATCACAATATGTGGAACAGATACGGAACATGTGATCACAAGTGTGTGATGTTTTTGTACAATTATTGGTTACAGAAAAAATTCAAAAAATTTTTATTTTAAAATTCCCATGTTATTCTTATGGAGAATATTGTAAAATATTGTAGTTTGCTTTCTGATGGATATATTTTGATTAAACTTAGCAAATTTATTTATTTTATACTAAGTTATTAATATTTTACTAAAAACCACACTTTTTTACCCTCCTTGTAGCAGCAAGCCTAGGTACTCATAAAACCTATTGTTAATTAAATACATTTAATTGAAAATCAATTCAGGTAAATAGAAATTCTCTCATACTTACAGAGATCGTCATAAATGTTATAGAATTTTGTATTATTTGTTCTTGTCTCTCAAACTACTGCTTGTGAACAGTATGTGATCACATGTTCCATTGCAACTGGCACTGTTGGAGTGGTGGTGTATTTCCCGTTGGAGGCCTACTGTCGGTGCCCGTCGGACTAATGGGTTAATGCCTTAAAATTGCGGAAGGTGTCAGAGATTTGACGGAAGGTGTCGTGTCGGAGAGCGTGGGTTTCCTGCTTTAAAAATATCACATTTATTCCCTGTTTAAATAGCATTAGTTTAATGAGTACTTAGTTTTGCTGCAACAGGGAGAGTAAAAGTGTATTTTATTGCATGTTAAAAGTTAAGTATAAAATAAACGAATTTCCAAAATGTGATCAAAATATGCTCATAAACAAGCAAACTGCAACAGTTTACTTATTCTCCATAAGAATAACATGGAATTTTAAATTAAATTTTTTTTTTAATTTTCTCCGTAACTGTTAGGCGCATAATAAGGCTTCAATATACTAAATTATTTGTTTTTTAAGCTTTACAAAATGGTTTGGAAAGAAATTGATAAATTTTATGTTTTTAGGGTCAAAAATTTTTACCCCATAAAACCCCCCATAAATAAACTCCCGTTTCCATGGTCCAATCATGCTGCTTCGCGAACTCGTTCGAATAAATGTAGGTTTAAACATTTATACAAAATTTCATTAAAATCGGATGATTTTTTTCGAGTTATCGTGCTAATGGATGCACACACATATATGTATCTATATATATATATATATAGATAATTTTCAACTGAACTCAGAGCAATAAAAAATTTTAAATTAATTAAAACATCACGAATTTGAAGTCACAAAGTGGCGCTGGCTACTAGTGTTTTTTATGCATGATTTTCTTATAGGCTACATATCTTCACAATATACTTCACATTACGTTCTCTAAATGGATGTATCAATCTTCATCTGTTCTATTATTGTTTATTTTAGGCGAGTCTCTCCCACCAAGCTCTGTCTCAGACATTGGACTGACCCCTCCTCATATATATTTCCTGGCCACAGTGGGGACTTGTCATTACTACTAGTTCTAAGCTTGACACTCAGGTTGTAGTTAAATTATGCAAGTGAAGGATTTGTTATGATCCTTATTTTCAACATTTTAACCTTTGGGCTAAAAGGTTATAATGGTACATTGATAAACCTATATACAGGGTGGGGCAGAGTGGACTCCCTAGTTTCAATCAGTCGCTGAAGAGCGTGCGCGCGAGTTAGCGGAGTGGGAGAGGTTTCATGTGGTGGGGGGAAAGACGCCATTGTTAGTAGTCACCATGCCATAAACTGGCGAGCATCGTGGTTTTGTAGTCAAAACGTTCTTTAAAAATAAGTATAGTGTGGTGGCGACCCAGCGTGCATTTCGTAGACGGTTTGGTTTGAATTGTCATGATAGTGTTCCCGATGCTAAAACCTTAAGGAAATGGATTACCGAATCTGCAACTGAGGTTTACAAAGTTCGACCAAGGACCTTGGAAGCCCTTAAGGAATTAATTGTTGATATTATCACTGGAATAATGCCAGGTATGCTGCGTAGAGTTTTTGAAAACTTCATTGAACTGCTGAATATGTGCATCACTCGTCAAGGTCTTCACCTGGACGATATCATTTTTAAAACTTAATGAAAAATAAATGGCATTGTATTTAGATTTCAGAAATAAAAAGCTTTTGTAGTAATCTTGTATGGTTTTTATACAGTTAACCGATCAAATCAGGGAGTCCACTCTGCCCCACCCTGTATTAGGCCTATGATAAATTTTGAGGCATAAAGTTAATTTGTTGTAATATTTTTTAATGAACTTTGTTGCAGTGCCCCCCAACGGTCTAGTTATATACTGTGGAACTATAGTAACTGAAGAAGGGAAAGAGAAGAAAGTCAACATTGATTTTGAGCCTTTCAAACCTATTAATACCTCCTTATATCTTTGTGACAATAAGGTATGAAATACAAGAGTGTTTGTTTTTTATAACATTAAAATTAATCAATTGCTAAAAATAAATCATCAAACGTCAATGTCAGATAAAGAAAAATGGTTAAAAGCCTTTTAAAATGACAACTCTTGTCATTTAAAAAATATTTGAAAGTTAAGTTTAAAAATTCAATTTGTGTTTCCCTAGGGTAGCAAAGGTTTGGTGTAAATGTTAGATATTGCCCTCCTTTCAGATATTACCCTCCTTTCTCCGTCCTTTATCCTCTGCTATGAGATCCAAAGCAATAATCCCTGAGTATTTCATTAGTTGGTTATGATAGACTTATTTTCTAGTTTCACACAGAAGCCTTGACCGCACTACTAGCTGATGACAACAAGTTTGGTTTCATTGTCATGGATGGTAATGGTGCTCTTTTTGGAACATTGCAAGGCAACACAAGAGAAGTCCTGCACAAGTTCACTGTTGACCTCCCAAAAAAGCATGGTTAGTATAGATATCTATTTAAAGAAATAGTCTTAGTAGGGATGGACAACATTGGATTTTTAGTTAGGGACGAGATTTTTTATTTCTCATAACATTTTGAGACGAGATCGAGACAGGATTTCTCATACATAACGGGAAATGCTTGTTTGACATTTTACCTGATTTTGTAACATTGTGAGATGACTGTTTAAATACAAAAATAATAATAGACATGAATATTTAATATCTTTTATTAAAAAGCATCAGTATAAAAAATGTATATTAATTATGCCTAACTTATTAAAAATAATGCTCATGCTTAGGAAACAAGGTGATATAAGTTAGGATAGAGTTAAACTTATCCTAAAATAAAATAGCAATATTAATTTTTATAAAATACTTACTTGTTTTGGCTACGTTTACAGTAGTAAAACATGCCTCACACTGCTTACACTCAAAAAAACTTCTCAAATTATAAAACAATAAAATTAATATTTACATGTAAAGAATTCATTAAATATGAACGCCTTCGCAAAGAAAACGCAATTACAACATGTGCTTGTATTGCAGGTGTTGCATTGACTTTTTGCAGCCATTTTTAACTTTTAGCGAATTTCCCATATAGGGAATAAGCTATTACCGTAGTACTCATGGTAAGACCTGGACGCGGGACCGATTTTTTTTTTATATATATATATATATATATGTGTCCGTCAGCACGATAACTCGAGCAAAAATGATCCGATTTTGATGAAATTTGGTACAAACGTGTAAACCTACGTTTATTCGAACGAGTTCGCAATCCAGCATGATCGGACCATGGGAACGGGTGTTTACGGGGGGTTTTATGGGGTAAAAATAGGTTTTTCCCATTTTTGACCCAAAAAACACAAAATTTAGCAATTTATTTCCAAACCATTTTTTAGAGCTTAAAAAAACAAATAATTTAGTATATTGAAGCGTTATTATGCGCCTAATGGTTACGGAGAAAATTCCAAAAAATTGTAAATTTAAAATTCCCATGTTATTCTTATGGAGAATGAGAAAACTGTTGTAGTTTGCTTGTTTATGAACATATTTTGATCAAATTTGGAAAATGTTTTTATTTCTTACTAACTATTAACATTTTACAAAAAAAAAAAAAAAACAGTTTTACCCTCCCTGATGCAGCAAACCTAAGTACTTGTTAAACTAATTCTATTTAAATCGGGAATAAATGCTATATTTTTAAGTAGACAGTTCAGTGTAAATCCAATCAGTCAAATGGAAATTCGCTTAGTCTGCAGGTTTGCTGCGGCGGGGGTATTTTTTTTTTAATCTCGTCATGAAAAAATCTTGATGAAATTCCTGAAATTTTGAGATTTGATTTCGGTCTTAGTAACCCTCGTACCTTGGCGAGTATGCTATCGTAGATTCTAAAAATATACTTTGTGGTTGGCTGACCAGGATTTGCTTTTTAAATAATATAATATATAAGACTTACCGTCTTGAAGCAATCCAGTATTTGTACTCAGTGTACAGCTGTTTCGGCTTCATAAAGCCATCAGTATAAATGTTTGCATATTTATAATGAATTGACCTCTAGAAGAATGGGCTGAAGATGGCTTTATGAAGCCGAAACAGCTGTACACTGAGTACAAAAACTGGATTGCTTCAAGACAGTAAGTCTTATAATATATAATATTATAAATGCAAATGTCTCTCTACAAATTTCTAAAGAAGTTTTTAAGCCTTCTGTCTAATCTCTTATAGACTAGGGGGTGGGCGAATAGTGATTTTTCAATTTGAGTCGAGTCGAGTATTTTAGTAAAAACTTTAGTATAGAGTTGAGTTGTTGCGCGTTAAGTAGGCCCAGGGTTTAAGCTACGGAAGCATTTTTAGTTGGTTTTTTAAGCGATAAAATACTTTACTTATAGGCCCCACTTAAATATTAAGAAAACTCACAGTACCTAAAATATGCCGTGGTCAGGGAAATAAATAGAAATCGGTCAGGGAATTCACTCAAGATATTTTCTTAGGAACCCTGATATACAGGGTGATTGATATAAGTGTGCCAGCCGTTTTATTCGAAAACAATAAGAGATATCAAAAAAATTTAAATGGTAAATGCCTTGGATGTTTTATTTAAAAAATTGTAGTCAAGTCAAAAAAATCATTTTAGCCGCCATTTTTCCAATATGGCCGCCAACATTGATTTTTCTTATGGAACACCCTGTATTTTATGATGTATTCTGGTAGGAAATGTAATTTTAAGATGATTTTATTCTTGTGATTTTTTTCATAAACCTACCCGTTTCATAGATAATAATGGTTAAAGTTTTGAAATTTCTGCATGAGAAAGAATTTCGATAAAGGCCTAAGCAAGCATGCCAGCTGTTTTATTAGAAATCCATTCAAAATTTCACAACTTAAACCATTATTATCTTTGAAACGGTTAGGTTTATGAAAAAAATCACAAGAATAAAATCGTCTTAAAATCACATTTTCTACCAGAATACATCATAAAATACAGGGTGTTCCATAAGAAAAATCAATGTTGGCGGCCATATTGGAAAAATGGCGGCTAAAATAATTTTTTTGACTTGACTACAATTTTTTAAATAAAAAATCCAAGGCACTTACCATTTAACTTTTTTTGATATCTCTTATGGTTTTCGAATAAAACGGCTGGCACACTTATATCAATCACCCTGTATGTGTGTGTGTCCGTTAGCACGATATCTCGAGCTAAAATGATCCAATTTGGATCAAATTTGGTACACAAATGTGTAAACCTATGTTTATTCAGACAATTTGGCGAACCTGCATTATCAGACTATGTGAACAGGGGTTTATTAGGGGTTTTATGGTATTCATATTTTTGACCCGAAAAACACAAAATTTCACAATTTCTTTCCAAACCATTTTGTAAAAAAAATAATTGCCTAACAGTTATGGAGGTAATTATAAAAAAAATTAAATTTTAAATTCCCATGTTATTCTTATGTAGAATAAATAAACTGTTGTAGTTTGCTTGCATGGATATATTTGTATCAAATTTGGCAATTTTGTTTATTTCATACTAAGCTTTTAACAATTCAATAAAAAAACACCTCAGTACCTTCCCTGTAGCAGCAGACCTAAGTACTTATAAAATTAATGTTATTTAAATAAGAAATAAATCTGACAATTTTAAGCGAATATTTTTGTGGAAATCAAGCCAGGTAAATGGAAATTTGCTTGGTATGCAGGTTTGCTGCAGCGGGAGTATTATTAATTGGTTTATGTAAATTAACGGCTCTTCGGTTAATCATTACCTTCTAATATCTAGTATTAGGTTAGGTTAGGCTATCAACTACCACAAAGAATCTTGGCCGATAAGTAGCTTAGCCGACCACGGTGGCAGAATTCCGTGGGTAAAATTCCTTTCTCAGGTTTATTGGGATTTTGATTATTTACAACTTTTAAATGGAAATGTGAGTTGATTGAAATAAATAATAATTTAATCGTCCGAAAAGTTCACAGCCGGAAATCTACCCCCATACCTGTGATGCCAAAATGACGTAGGCCAGGTAAATTTCCGGGGATAGAATTCTGGCGACCTATATGGTTAAAGGGGGGGGGGGGATGGGGCTGGGGTAGTAAAAATTCACCTTCTCTTTGGTTAAATTAGAAAATAGTATTTAAAGAAATTGTTGTTCTAATCAATAATATAGGTTTATGTTCGTAATTTATCAAATCCTGTCTTATTACAACTAAACTATTAAGAAAATACTTAAGCGCTATGATAGTTTATTACGGTGTATTTTATCAGTAGCAGAATAATTAGAGAAACCTGTAATTAAGTATAAAATAATGGCTGGAAGCTACCTCAGAGGATAGTTTACGACCTAAAAGTTTAATTTTTCGTTAGTAAAATATTTATTATTTTAAACTTTGCACAGGGTGTCCAGCGTTAACATGGACAAACTCCATGAAATGGTTCTATAGGTCAAAATGAAGAGAAAATTAGGAATCAAAAGTTTTTCCAAAATTGATTCGTTAACCAGACATCTAGCATTTTGTGTTTTTTACATAAACATTTTTATCTTTGTATTGTTCCAACCGATAACGATGTAGGTACCGGTATTTTAGAGTAGAAGAGACCTATGTTATAAAAAATAATTAACTTACTACAATTTCTATCAAAATGGCTGTCATTTTAATAAAAAATTTAAATTACAAAAAAATTGCTGATATTATCAAAGAAATGTCAAGTATACTTTACAACATTACAACATTAAGTTCAAAAAGAAATTTTAAAAAGTTTGATTTATTAATGATTCTTTTGATGTTCAGGAAGAGGAGGTCAGTCCGCGTTGCGTTTTGCTCGTCTGAGAATGGAGAAGAGACACAACTATGTTCGGAAGGTAGCAGAAGTTGCAACTCAATTGTTCATCACTAATGATAAACCCAATATTGCTGGACTTATCCTGGCTGGTAGTGCAGACTTTAAGACAGAACTGAGTCAGTCGGACATGTTTGATCCTGTGAGTTCTGTTTGAACTAAGGTTGTATATTAAACTAAGACTAAAAAAAAAATTAAAGGTTACCTACATTTTCTTAGCAATTTTCGCAGAATCTATTTGATCATAATGTTTTTTTACACTAATTCAGTAACGTTACATTTTTTGTTAGCTTGGCACTGCTGAAGCGCAAATTTTGCAAGAGTCAATATTGCTGTATAGCTACAGCAATATTGTATACCTATATATATATATTGTATATATATAATACCTTATATAATAATTTGTATACCTGTATACCTACAAGCATTGGTGTAGATATTTGTTTCACAAAGGTGTCTGCTATTCTTATGGGCGTATTAGTATAGAAATGGGGAGTGAGCTGGTCTAGTGGTTAGAGTGCAGGACTCCGGTCCCTGGGGTTCCGGGTTCGAATCCCACCAAACCACCACTGGAATTGATCCAAGTGACAATTCCACAACCCCTAAGTCTAGTCTGAAATAATGTGAAAAACAATTCCAGGCTCCTACCTTTCGTCCTAAGACAAAAAAATTTGTATATTAATTAACCCCATACCCTAATATTGTTGTAATAATGTAGAGCAGGTAATACCTTTTGATATTGTAGATCATGAAAACAGAATGGAGGTAGGAAGAGGTACAGTTATTACTAGGGATTTATTGAAGAGCTCTTCGTGTCATAAAATATTTTAGATCTAGCTCAAATCAATATGTAGGCATTTTGTTTATTAATCTAATTTTTTTAAATAAACTGTAAGGGAAGAACATTCAAACTTGATTTGTGAATGTTAACATGTAATTTTCAGAGGCTTCAAGCTAAAATAATTAAACTAGTTGATGTATCATATGGTGGAGAAAATGGTTTTAACCAGGCCATCGAGTTAGCTGCTGAGTCACTGCAAAATGTCAAATTCATACAGGAGAAAAAACTAATAGGTATGCTCCTTTGTTTAATCTCTTAAGTAACATAATATGTAATGTAAGTTAACAGTTTTGTTCCAGTAAATGTACTTTTAGTTGTCCTTTTATTTACTGTCTTATAAAGAAATTTAATGAAGCAACAAATAAAACCTTATGAGCCTAAATTAGCTTTAATGGACACTGATGACAAATGGTTTTGTATTTCCAGGATGAACTACAGTACTTCACAATACTACAGTTATTTTTCAAAACTTATTTTGTAGTAGAGATGTGCGAGTGCGGCCATGAAACTCGAGCTTATCTTTGAACTCGGCAGTTTCGAGTTGAGTTTTGTTTAAAATTGTAAAAAATCAATATTTGTTAAGATATAACTTGTGTTTATATAAAATGCTTTTTATAATTTGTATTAGGCCTACTGTAGATTCTACAGTAATACAAACATTTCTACAGTGTAGAAATAAGCAAGAGGTAGTTGTCTTAACCTATTTTTATAGCTGTCACAACAGAATAGGTAAACTCAAAGCAGTCGCCAGCGACTGACTGGCAATGGCATAATCTGGACTTGACACAGAATGACATGATCGGTAGTGATTTTGTTTTTAAGTACTGTTTCACAATAGAAAATTCCACTACTGAACTGTTACGTTCAAGCAATAAATCTATGTTTAAACAAGTCAGAATATAAACACTATAAAGGTAAAACAATAGAAGGGAGGGAGGGGTTGGGCAATGACCTTGAAAGGAGCGGGCATAGCAACAGTGGTGTAGGGGGTTAGTGGGAAGGGGAGGGTGAGACCTTTGAGCTATATTTAGACCATACTAGACTTTCACAACTTCCCAAATAAACAAGAGGTAGTTATCTTAATCTATTTTTATAGCTGTCACAACAGAATAGGTCAACACAAAGCACTCGCCGGCGACTGACTGGCAATGGTATACTGACTTGACACAGAATGGAATGACATGATCGGTAGTGATTTTGTTTTAAAGTACTGTTTCTCAATAGAAAATTCCACTACTGAACTGTTACGTAGGCAAATTTATGTTTAAAAAAGTCAGAATAAAAACACTAGAAAGGCAAAACAATAGAATGGAGGGAGGGGTTGTGCAATGACCTCGAAATGATCGCATAGCAACAGTGAGTAGAGTAGGGGGTTGGGGGGGGGGAAGGGAAGGGTGAGACCTTTGAGCTATATTTAGACTAGACTTTCACCACTTCCCAAATGGCTGGGTGGATTACAATAGCAGGTTTTTTCCTTCCCTGGTTCGACTTTTGTCTTTTTGTGTTGGAAATTTGAATAATCAAAAATATAATTTGAATTGACCACAATTATTTAGCATTGATATTACAATTTGCAAGGGACCAGGAGAAAAATTATTGGAATTAGAGTTAATGCCATGATTTGCATTTTTATGTCAACATACAACATTGCGCAATCATGATGTTTTGGGTCATTGGCCTTTGTAATATAGGTAACGCATCTGTTATAAGTCGATAATTATAAATTGATGTTCCCGTGGTTGAAAATAATTATTCTGTAAACTTGTAAAACATTAGATAACTCATAAATAAGTATAAAATAATACATAAAGATAATAATTGCACTCCTGAAAAGGATATTAAGATAACAACATAAAAACATCATTATACTTTCTCTTCGTTCTTCCATTCTTTCTCGGGGGTCCCTTCATTCTACGCATTACTCATAATCAGCTGAGCTGTTATCATCCAGTTATTGATAACAACAACAGATTTTTTTTTTATTGTAGCTATTAGAGAGTAATAACATAGACTAAGCAATGTATTTTTTATCTATGGTAATAAACAACAAATGCTTTCTGTTACTAAATCTTACAAATATCTGGATTATAGTGAATTAGGCTTAAGTCTAGGTTTCATTTGATTTCTATAACTACTATTGTATGGGCGTATTACATTATTCAGTACAATGTTCAATCTTCAATTGTTTTGTTTAACAGTAAGGTAGGCTACTTGTAGGCCTATTTAAGTATTTTATTTTGAACAAACATTTTGAGTATTTTGACAGAATTTTTGTTTACAACAGACAAGATTAGAAAATTTAATTTTCTTTAATTTTAAAAATTTATTTTTCCTTTACCCACTGTCAAACCATTGGAAATTGTGTATGCCCACTGTTAGAAAAACCACACCAACTAAGAAAAATGATAATAAACTTACAAAACTAAAGGTGAAAATGTAGAAAACAAAATTAAAGTTGTAGAATAAATCTCTATGCCTACTTTATATTGTAATTGCAACCTAAATAACGAATAGATGCAAGTATTAAGTAATTTTAGCCAAATATTATGGAATATTACTTATCAATAGGGATTAATATAATTATTTTTTTGATAAATATATGCTCTTTTACTTATTTTTCGCAGAAGTAGAAGTTCATTTATGAGCTCTATTGTTGTTGTTTTAAAATTATTTTCTATGCATTCTATTGATATGTTACTGCACATATATTAATAATTGATTCATTTATAATCGTACTTTAGCTTGTAACAAGGTTGTTTTACAAGTTACATGCTCTAGGCCTAAGGAGTTACTTAAACTTACACATCCTCTGATCTTTTTGATTTAAACTCAACTCGAACTCGAGAATCATACTTATTTTGCCAATTACTCGACTCGACCTGAAAAACCTGTACTCGCACATCTCTAAAAACATCCTTTATAAAGTTTTAATTAAAGTACAATTCATACATAAGAACAGGTCTTTTGTCATAGTGATATATTTTAAAATAAAATTAATAGTGACTATCTGTGTCCAAAGTCCATACACAAAACTACCAAAGATAGTCCTGTACATGGACACAGATAGTCCTGTATATGGTCACAGTTAGTCTTTGATATTGCCTAGCTATATGAATTATTTAAAAAACCTGCCCTTGAAAAAAGAAAAAAAAACTTATCTTTATTTGGATCAGATTTTTTCAAGATCCGGATCCTGCACAGACATTTTCTTGGATCCGCCCATCAATAGTTTTTATATATTGCAGGACGATACTTTGATGAAATTAGTCAAGACACCGGCAAGTACTGTTTTGGTGTTGAAGACACTCTGAGAGCCTTGGAGCTAGGTTCTGTAGAGACTCTTATTTGCTGGGAAAACTTGGACATTCAGCGCTACGTGCTGAAGAACCACACAAACGCTGAAGAGAAAGTCCTGCACCTCACACCAGAGCAAGAGAAGGACAAGACTCACTTCACTGATAAGGAGGCAAGTACAAGTAACGCTTTATACTCAATCTTGTGAGACATACTGATAGTGATTGTACCGCATAAGGGGAAAAATCCATTTTAATCCATCTACAAGATCAGCTATGCACTCTAAAGTTTAAATTATATCCTCAATTCCTGGCTTGTACTTGTGTTAGGATTACTCTTGTAACAGTGTTTGTATGTTAGAGTGGGGTGGAGCTGGAGCTAGTGGAGAACCAACCATTGCTGGAGTGGCTGGCCAACAACTACAAGAGCTTTGGTGCTACCCTGGAGATAATCACTGACAAGTCACAAGAGGGCTCACAGTTTGTCAGAGGGTTTGGTGGCATTGGAGGTGAGTTAATCCATTCTTCTGGTGTATTAGGCCACAATCCATGTTACTCTGTCTTTAACTGAGTTTAAAAAATGGGATACTAACAAATTATGTTCCAAGTCCTTATACATTGATTTTCTTATTTGCTGAAATAGGTTTGCAATTCCAATTATAATTATTAATCAGATAATAACCTGCAGTAATCCTACAAACAGTGCAAACCAAACTTTTACCAAGGAGATAAGAGAAATAAGATTAATCATACCATACCCACAGACAAATGTAAGTTTGTTATTTAATAGTAGACAAATATTGAATTAAAAGAAAACAATAATGTATTGTAAAGAAAGTTTGTAAGAAAAACCATTATTCTTGTTGCCGCTGTAGTCTGTAGTCCTACAAGTCTGTTCCTAGTAGTTACAGAGTCGGAAATAACAGCCTCTGCTGGCAGTCCACTGGTTTTGCCTGTGACCAACCGTTTTGGACATTCTTTGTTTGGTTTGGCTCATCAATAATTGTAATGGCAGTGCTGTTAAAGCTACTTTTAAAATAAATTGATTCCAGTGTTTAGTTTACCTTCAATTGCTTAGGTATTTTAAAATATGCCTACTCAGATGTCATTGTTGGGAATTCTTTTGGGATTTTTTTGTCTTTGGTTCTGCATCTTAATCATTAATGGTGTAGATAGTAAATTTACATTGTATCAATCAAACATAAATATACAACAATCAGACCGTCATTTAAGTTGAGAATCAAGCTTAAAATCAGAGGTTGTGTTACAATATTTGTTGTAAGAGCAGCTTGGGGTGCAATGAAGTGTGGTAAGTGGACTAATGTTAGTGTCTGGTATTTAATGCAAACAGGAATTCTCCGATACAAAGTGGACTTCCAGAGTCTCCAGGCAGATGAGCCACTAGATGATGTGGACCTAGATGAGTATTGAGAGGTGACTTGCTTGCCTAAACATTTCATGTTGCATTCTTTATTGTTGAGTTGTTTTCTACATCTTCATGTTATTCTTTATTTTTTATTTGCAAACAAAGGTACTCGGTTTTTCATTCCAAGAAGTAAATAAGTTATTTGCAAGGAGCAATCTATAAATTATTTGCTTATCATGTTATTTGACAGATAATAATAGTGATATTTAAAATTATAATCTTGTTATTTAAAATTATAATCTGTTGTTAAATTGTAAGATTTGGTATGTATAAAAGATCAATTAATTGTTGAAACTAGTCATATCCAATTCCTGCTACTTTATTGCCACATCTCATTGACTGAACAAGTAAATAATTGTATGGGCCTACTCTAAACAAATGATAACTATTCTATAGTTAGTTTTAACAAAAAAAAAAGCTCTAGACTAGGATTGTAATTTAAAAAAATGGCGATAGCATCTATCTTATCTAAGAATATGCATAGTACACGTAGAAACTACAGGACATTCAATATTGTGTTATCAATGTGTACTATGGTCTACCTGGACTTTTGCTAAGGTAAGCTAGTTGCTATCGCTCTTTTATTCTAACGATCACTTTTAATCTTCATTAATCTGTTTTTGAGCAGCTTCTGTGAGTTTATTCTCCTGGTAAAAGTTGCGTTGAATTTAAATTCCATCTAATGATATGATTATTGGTTAACTGAGTACCACATTCCAGCTACAGTGGAGAGAAGTAATTAATTGGTAATTCAAGTATCTGATTAAGAAGGGAAGATTAGGTTATATATAATGCTATTTTCTTGGACATATCCCTGTATTTTATTAAAAAACTTATTGGCACCTAGTTGATTGAGCATTGAGCTGATGACTTCAGCATTTTTCTGTCTTCTATTGCAAAGCTGATCGATCAGCTCTTTAGCGTACTTCAGACTTAAAGTATGGAAAAATCTATCATGAGCTTTAGATAATGAGTACAGTACAGCTTTAATAATTAAAACTCCAATAATCCGGATTACAAATTATTTGAACCTATCAAAGAGAAAAAATTTTTAAGAAAAACTTTGCTCATTGCAATATTAAGCAGTTTTTGCTAATTTGTCACATTGTTTTAATGTGTGCCGATTGTGTCCATCATGCAGCGAGTGTAGTGGTCATGAGATCTGCACAATAATTGCTCCGGATATTTGGAGTAAGCAACGATCTTTAAACTCGTCATCATTAATATCATAAGTAAATTAAATCAATTTGTGCTTTCTATTTAATTGGAAAGGTTTGTAAAGGTGTAGCATGGAAAATTATTCTTTGATTTGCTGTCAACAAATTTGTTATTCGTGTTCATTATTGTTTTAGAAACCACAGACCATTATGTCTTATTTTATGCAAGAATCATGTTTTAAGCACACATTTAGTTTTGTTTATTTGTGATAGAAGATGAGGATATAACATTGTAAGGCATGGTTTAGTTTTGTCATAGCCTATTTTTATTTTCTTGTGCATGGTTTATCTATAGGTCTAGGTCTATTTTTGGTGTGTTTCGACTAAAATTTTTGGCTGCCCTTTAGTTTACGCCCCACATTCATTCGATTAAAATTTTAGATTAAAACTATCGATATAACAATTATTCCATTTGATTGTTCAATCCATTGTTTACCAATTTTATTTTGTTATTTTTTTTGTGGTGCAGTTTGAAAAAATCGTTAGGAACTGTTATAAAGACTGACCATTTAACATTTTGCCAAAGTACATTTTGCCGAATACTTATATCGCCGTGATGTTAAGTTATCTGATGAAGATCCATTTCTTTTTTTATAGAAGCAGTAAAACAATTGTATCCCGGAGAAGTTTGAAAACGTTAAACTGTACTGATTTTACTTTTGTTCTAGTTAAATTGTTTGATTTATTTATTAATCTCTGTTTTGTTTAGTTTCTTCTGTTAATCATGACATGTTTATTCTAAAAACAAGCTGATAACAACCGATACCTTGTTGGATATTTACAATCAAATGAAATAATCGATATATCGATAGTTTTAATAGAAAATTTCAATCGAGTTATTGTGGGGCGTAACCTAAAGTGGAGCCCAATTTTTTGTTCAACAACATGTACTATTCCCAAATGTAAAAGATTTAACACTCATATGATAATTATGGCCTAATTAAGTAAATCAGGGTGTCCACTAAACCGGAAATTATGCGGGAATTTTGAATTTATACAGGGAGTTTTCAGATTACCGCGGTAGACAGCTAATACAGTATATATAGCTAATGGCAGCTATTACGGCTGCGAGGATGATCAGAATAATGCTGAGATCACGGAAGACGATGATAATGTACACTCAACCGTAGGAAATTATTAGAATTTTGCCACGATCACGGGAGACGCTAGTGATGTCTGCATAACCGCAGAATATGTTTATGATTTTGCCACAACTGCGCAGGACGGTAATGATGTCTACCCGGCTTCGAGGGATGATCAGAATATTGACGCAATCTAGGAAATTAATAATTATGTCCACAAGACCACAAGAAATGATTAGAATTTTGCTGCGACTCCGAATGACGTTGATTACGTTTCCGTGACTGCGGGAGACAATAATGATGTCCACATGATAATGGATGCCTACAGTAAATGTAATTCAAATTTATAAAAATCAGTCAGATAACTGAACTGGAAAAGCAAGATAGGATGAGAAAAAAATTTGACACATACCAAATGATAAAGGTTAAGAAAAAATAATTAAAAGAGTCAATACACCAAGCTAAACAAAAATGGTATAATGAAAAAATAAAAACTCTTCTAATAATACTAAAGCAACGTGGAACATAATTATAAATTAATAAAGCTTAACTCAAATAGTGATTGTACCAACAACATACCAGTTATGTATAGATCAAAATTGTAAACTCCTTAACCTATCTTTAACTAAAACCTTAACCTATAATTCACTAGCTGTCAGTAACAACTTAAATAATTTCTTTGTATCAGCTGTGGAAAAGCTTATCTTGCCACTAGTGATGAGTCAGTACCTTTTCTTCAATGTCGGTACCGGTTCCTAACAAATCAGTTCTCGGTTTAGGTACTATCGGTGCCTCATTTTAAATTAGGCAATTTAATTGTTTGTTGTAACGGACGTTGCCGCGGACGCTCAAAATGTCTTGGACCTTGTCGCGATAATGGGAAATCATCAGGAATGATACCGTGAACGTGGGAAATCATTACAGATTTTGTCGCGATTGCCGGAATTCATCACGGATGTAGGTGTGATTGCTGAAAATCATCATGGATGCTGTCACAATCACAGAAATGAGAAAATCACTTTGGATGTTGCGGTGATCATAAAGAATCATCATCAATTGAAGAATCATTACCGATTTTGCCGATTTTGAGGGAAATCATCCAAATTTTTCATTGATAGAAAAATAAGATCAACAATTTTGCTGCTATTGCAAGAAATTACCACGGAATTCACCGAAAGGTTTTTAATTGTTTTTGCAGGTTTAAACAAGCAAATAAGTTTTGCTTATTTGAGCGGCAAGTTTTGCCCTGGAAACTTTTTATTTTGAACCTGGAAAACCTGAAATTGTCCTTGAATTTTATTTTTATGGAACACTGGACACCCTGGTTTTGCATTAAAAGATACTATCGTCACTAAATTTAGGTTGTTTGTCTCAAATGTACAGTTACTGAGATACTAGGACCTCATTTATGAGTGTAACACAGTTTCCAGCGGACTTGGAAACTGGGGAAAGCGGGAAATGTACGTGAATTTTGTAAGGTACCCATATTTGATAGGAATCGCAAAGAAAAATAAAATAATTGTACTTAAATGTATGCATTAATCATTATGTCCACTATGACTAAAAACTCAAATAAAAACTGTCCGGTTTTGATGAAATTTTGGACATAAGTGTAAACCTTCAAACAGGTTTGCAACCCAGCATGATCAAACAATGAGAAGGGGTTTTATGGAGTACAAACAAACTGAACTAGAGCAAACCTTGATATTACATACTGTAGCATAAATGTTATAGCATTTGCATTACAATAAAAATATATTCATCATTGCCTCCAGGATTGATTATTGACAATATAAATAGGTTAATCCCTTGTGTCATCAATCCTTAATTAAATTAGTCTATGGCGACTAGTTTAGAAACATTAGCAGTTTCATTGTCAAGCCTCTTGCCTTTTTAAAATTATTCTTGTCGTTGTCAATACACATTGTAGTACATTCAACATACAGAAACACAGATACAAATTATTAACTAAAACGAATGCACTCCTGGTCTCCTGCCATAACTATCGCGGTGATGGGCACGATGCAACTCTCACTGCGGTAGTAATGGCAATGGCACATTTGTTTTTGTTTTAATTTGTGTACGTGATTCTGTATGTTGAATGTACTAATGTGTATTGACGACAACAAGATGTCCCAATATTTATAAAATGGCAAGAGGCTTTACAATGAAACTGCTGATGTTTTGAAACTAGTCGCCACAGACTAATTTTAGGATTCATGACGTAAGATATGTTAACCTATTTATATTTTTATATATATAAAAAGTAACTGTTATGATTTTTAGATTATTATAAAAGACTTTGCAATGCCTAAGATTCTTGCATAAATTGTCCACAAGTTGTACTTCTTCTTTCTTGAAACTTAAACCTAATATTTTGGACCCAATGGTGGCTGATAAAAGGTCATTAACATTTTATAGAAAGTTAACAGGTCCACTAAGGTCATATTTTCATAGGGTTGTTTTTTTCCAATAGGATGGTTGAGTATTATATCTGTTTTTATGGTTTTTCATTTTATTAAAGCACAATTAATTTTTTTTTTATTCCCACCATAACTGTTATAATCCAACACTACTTGCTTAGCACTTAGCAGTGAATGATAATCCTTATATATAATACGTGAAGGCGATTTCTACAAAACACTACTCCTCCGTTAATAATGGACGGATTTTTACAAACGACGTGTCAAAATAAAGTATTTTTTGTGTAGACGCCCCCTTTTACCAATTCATGTAATAAAAATCCTCGGGCTTTGCCCCACAGGCCATCAAAGTTGGAGTTTCTCCCATAAGATTAACATGGGGTAATCTAAATATTTAATTAGAAACTTTGTCCTCACTAATTTGAGAGAACGGCTGGGTGTAGAAACTTGGTAGAGGTGTCCAAAGAAAGGTCTTTGTCTGTAGATGAGTTACAAAAAGAAAAACCAAGCAAAATTCCTTAAGACTCTGCCCCAGAAGCCTTTAAAGATCCCTCGACAGAGTTGTTTACATTTTGGTCACGTGAATAATACTTTTTAATGAAACAGCTGTTCATTTTTATTAGGGAATTTCCCATAGGGAATAAGCTATTTAAATTGTATTTCAAACAACACACATTTATTTGGAGTTACTGAATTCTACCAAATAAGTATTTGCAATGTTATTTTCTGATTTTAAAATTGATTTTCTTCTTTATCATGTAATGTTTTGCAATATAACGTTCCATTACGAAATCATTGGAAAATCCTTTTATCAGCAATTCTTAAATCATTTCTCATTGAACTATCTTATATCTATTGTACGGGTTGGTGTCTGCCTTTTTCACCACTTTTTCCTACATTTTATCATATTATTCTACACATATCAAATATGCATTTATGTAGAAATATCTGCTCTTATCGTGTCTAATAAAATTCAAACATAGAAACCTTGCCCAAAATGGTACCCATCTTGACAAATTATTTGCACCTGCCTATATTAAGGACTTTGGCGCACTGGGTTGGTAACATTATTGAAAATAACACGACATTTTGGCTGTAAAATATGGTACAAAGAGAAAATACTATTTAAGCAGCTACTGTCATGACATAAAGGTCATACTGTATTCCTTTTAAACTAGATCACATAATCCTTTATAAGATACGTTGATTAACAATATGTAAACGTCAATATATACGTAACAGCCAATTTACAGTATTTTTGCTTTTTGGAAATGTCCCATTGCTATATCATTTGCATTATTTGTTGCCAATGAAGCTGCAAGACCATATGGACCAGGAGGCCCCTAACAGTTCAAGAATAAAAGCCAACTTCACTTCAAGTATTTTACTACACCTAACATTCCGTAGAAAGATTATATTGAGAACTTTATGTCATTGATAAGGCTGAGACAACTAACTGACATCCCTCATGTCAAGGAATTCCAGCTTTTTACAGTAACCCCACAATCAATTTCTCAAAACTATGCTAGAGGGTTCATTCATTGGCACAGAAGTACGATATGAACTGACGCGACACGCGACGTGACGAAGGAAAAATCAAACTTACACTGTAACGGATATACCCTCCTTTGAATTTAGAAAATGTCTTCCCAAAAAATATTTCCTTTTGAAATAAAATCATATTACACTGATGAAATCACGGAAGTAATTTCATTCAATTTAATTTCATTCAACGCAATTAATATCATTATTGTTTTTACACTTATTACTCTTTAAACAATGCTAAATCCTCAAAATATGTATATTTCACCCAATTTATCGCAGTTGGATGAATTAACGTAAGCCTTCAAAGTAACCGTCGATTTCGACGGGTTTCACCTAGTCCTTATTAAAGTGTGGCCAGCTGCTGAAGAATGCAGGAAAACTTCCTGGAATACAACCTAAGCATGGTGGAGATATAAGCAATAAAATTGATTAATGTTATCAACAATTAATTAAACCTTAGCATATTACTCATCTTAAGGTTTTGTAAAGTCACTGAGTTAGGAGTAACTTGTAACTTTTGCAAAGATGGTTTGTAAAAAACAATAATAAACCCCTAGTTTTACATGCTTCCATGAGAACAGTTTTGGAGTTTATTTTAATCAAATGTTGTGATTGTTTTAGGCCTACTGAGATACAAAGTGGATTTCCAGAGCATGCAGTGTGACGATCTAGACTTCAACGATGTATATGACTTGGACGAATACTAAGTCAACAGTCAAGTGTGTGAGGAAGGTAGGGGTGCCTGCACAACAACTCGTGACTCGATCTATGCTCAATCATCTACCCTAACATAATGGAAGTCTGTATTTATTTTGGCAAAATTAAAAGAGTTTTTAGTTTGCAAACTAAGTTTAATGTGTTATTATTTTATTTTTTGTAAGGAACACATTTGCCTTTTTTAAAGGTTAAAACCTGTAAGTCACATTCCAAAGCATACATATTTTTATAATGTAATCAATTGTAAGTTGGCCTAAACATTTTAAAGATGCTTAAAAAAAAGCATTAATGTAGTAACTACAACTAATAATATAAATTTGTTGTTTAGTGTCGAAAATGCATAATATCAAAGTGTAAATATTGCGATGACTGTTCAAATCTGGCTATCTGAATATTTTAGTTATGAGTTGTTATGTTGATTGCTTTTTGGCATCAAGTAGCCCTACCTTTTTCTTCACTATGGTATTAGTAAAATTTGTTGATCAAGTATAAAAGTTGGCATGTTTATTTTTTGTTGAAAGAAACAGCTCAAAATAAAATGTTTAGCGTTAATTTAATTTGACTGGTTTTAATAAGTAATGTAACATATCACTGTTTATTTGTTGAAAATATTATATCTGTGCCCTAATGAAGGTTTTAAAATAGATCATGTCATAAAGCCATATTTTATTTATTTATACAAATTGCATACACACTGGAGCAAGCTGTTATATCTTTAACTGAGTAAATTAATAACTTAATTATTATCAGGCATTTAGGTGTTTTACGGTTAAAGATTGTGGTTATATTTTTATTTATTGAAAATAAATCGATCAATTATGTAGCGAGTTGTTTGTCAATATGAGTATGGATTTATAATCAGGAAATTATTACAAAAATTGTAAGAGTGTTTCTTCAGTCTGCAATATTCTTAAGAATGAATAAAGTCTTAATGGAAAATTGATAGTGATTTACATTTTATGTAACCCATCGAACAGTTCCAACTACTGTAAGAACATTTTTTCCGTCATCGGCCCACTGGTTTTCTAGTGAGGTCTTCACATGTTTTGATTCATTAAACTCTTCATAGTGTCATTGAAACCAATAAAAACGCTATACATTAGAGTCCCGCAAACACGGCGTAATGTGGACTGGAAGGGTGCCGAGTTTGTGAAATGCCAGGTTATCGGGAACTAGGGTTAAAAATAAGAACAATACAATTTTAAAGCTTTTTAACCGTCTTTTTCATTTATATTTATATTACAAGTCAGTATTAAGTCATCAGATATAGTACAACAAATCCTTGGTACGAGTTGAGAATGATTTGACTTGAGCTGGCTTGAGTCCATGTTTAACCCGGACTCAAAAAATCACTAATTATCTGAGCCAGGTGATGGCCAAGTTATCCAAACTGCCGGGTTATCGAGTGGCAAGTTTGGGGGACTGTACTGTATTTTAGGTAGGCATAAACTTACATCACATAACTTATTCAAGGCCCTAGCCATATTACACTGAAATTGTCTTACAAGAGTAATCCTTTTCCAGCAGGGGAAGCTCTCTCCCTTTAACTTTGTAAAGAGGGGTCCCATGGAGTCGGAAGTGGGGTCTGGGGTAATGGATCTTAAAATTTTCTGATCAGTTTTGTACACATCAAGAGTAGACAAAATAGTTCGGTTAAATGGACTTGAGTAAATTCTATTGATTTACTAAAACTTGTATTCTACGACAACACTAGGGTAAAAATTGAATGTGTAAAAAATTAACTGAAGATCTGAATGTTGAACCAAAAAAACACAAGCAAACTTTTAATTACACAAATTGGGAGTTTTCCCTACCATAATAGGAAGGGCAACATTAACAATTATTAAAGTGAATACTCTTTGTCTTAGTTGTAACATATACATAAATCTAAAACTAAAATGTTTGAAAAATATATAATATGTTGTATTTATCAAAAAGAGATCTGTCCATTATATAGTGGTAGCTTAAAACGTACACTTTTCAGTACTGTAACTATTATTTCACTACTTTGACTAGCTAAGAGATAAAGGGTGTAATAACTTAAGGTGGACATAACTTTGAAAACCATTTTTTTGGGATTCAGGGGGGCCCAAAACAGGAGATATCAAGGCCACACTAAAAAAACAGGCCGTAATGCTCGTCAAGCATGACGTCACGATAGAAGACAGCAATGAGGTAGGTATTTATTTATTTATTTTCCAAGGAAAGATTAAAACAAGCAGCTGATCATAAACGGCAAATCTTACGTCATTGCCGTCTTCTATCGTGACGTAATGCTTGACGAGCATTACGGCCAGTTTTTTTAGTGTGGCCTTGGATATATCCACTTGAAACTCAAACTCAAAAATGTTGACCAAAACAATGTATTTTCTTCATATACTATGGTATAGGGGGAAAAAGTAAAAATGTTCATAGCAATTGAGCGGAGCGAAGTGAAGCTCTTTGGGATCGGCTTCAATGCAAACTTTCTAACACTTACAGAAAACATTTGAATGATGATTTATTTGAAGAATAATAATTACATCATACTATTGCTGTTGTCTCTATCAAATTTTTGTCTTTTCAATCTAATTTAATTAGCTTGTTTTCTTTTGTTTTTGTACTGTGGTTTATGCAAAGTTTTATTTATTGATGAGTGAACAAAGTGAATGAATCTATGTATCATGTATAGCGGAGTCGGAAATTAGTTGTCCGCTTGTCTGTGACTGTGTTCGCGTCAAAAACTCAAGAACCGTTGCACTTAAAGCGTTCAAATTATGTACAAATAATTCACTGGGAAGACGTCATTGAATTTCTAGACGATTCCGCTCAGTGATAATTATAAAACCTTAAAAATACATTTTAAAATTCGTCCCATAAGAATAACATTCAGGGGCAGCTCCAGCAAACTTTTTTGGGTAGGCCTGACAAGGAACAAGAAGGAGTTTGATCAGGGTAGAAGAGGTTTGAGGGGCTTCCCTGCAAAAAGGGGAAATTTAAAAATGTAAATGCAAAGTAATGAGTTTTAATGCTTTCCCTTTATTTACATATAATTAAATGTATTTAATTATTTATAATTTTGAAATATCTAAGAAAATTTGGGAGCCTACCTGGCCTACCCTGTGAAGCTGCCCCTAATAACATTAGAAGCGACCTTCTTATTTTTATTTGTTTACATTTTGCAACCAACAATGTTGTTGTTATTGTTCAAATGTTTATAGCGGACATTTTCCATCACGATGGTAAAAATAAAACCATCATGATGGAAAATGTCCGCAATAAACCTTTGAACAACATTAACTCACCATCACCAACAATGAACTTCAAACAAAGAACAATGTTGTTGTTTACTTTAGACAAAGAGAATGACTTTTTCTCTAAACATTTTCATTCATGGTAAACAGTAAACAGTTTGACGTCTATGAATATTATGTTATAATTCTAAAATTTCCTGAATAATAAATTTAATTTTACAATTTTAGTGGCAGTTATTCAATTCAATTCAATATTTCTTTATTCATTGAAGCACAAAGTACATTAATAGTGTCATTCTCTTAAATGTTTTTATATTACAATGTTATATTCTATGGATACAAAGTTCTTAAAATCTAACATAAGTTTATACAAATTACAAATTAACGCTCCTTCTAAAAATTTTAAAGTTCATCAAGATTCAATACCTTGTTGATGAGAAATGTTTTAAGACCCCTCTTAAATCCGACCATGCTTTTTGCCGATTTAATTTCATTTGGAATTTTGTTATAAAATTTGGAGCCTATATATTGAGTTGTATATTTGTTTGTTTGTTTGGCAGTGATAAACTCAGACACCGCTGAACCGATTGCCACGAAACTTGGTACATACGTGTAGAATGTCATGGAATAGGTTTATACACCATCAATTTCGTGATCCGTCCAATCGGCTCTGCCCCAGTGGCTCTGGAGTTTCTCATGTTAACCTTATGAGAAATGGAATTAATGAATCTTAACAGCTGTTTCAATTAAACAAGTTGGTTCCGTTCTATGATGTTCAATAGCATTAAAGTTACCAGGATTACCAACAGGGTGCAGCACTATTATTTCTTTTACATTTATGACAACAGCTAATTTGCAACCAAAAGGTGAGTGAGCATAGCGAACGAACTTCAACCTGGAGGCGAGTTAGCGTAGTGAACGAGCTAACCTGAAGGCAAGTGAGCGTAGCGAACGAGCTAACCTGAAGGCAAGTGAGCGCAGCGAACGAGCTCCAATCTAAAGGTGAGTGAGCGTAGCGAACGAGCTCCAACCCAAAGGTGAGTGAGCGTAGCGAACGAACTTCAACCAGGACGTGATTGAGCCGAATAGAAAGACCAAAAATATTGTCTACCCACTAGCATTAGTATAAGAGCAATAATAAAGAATCGTTTATCCTTTGTACTATATGTGTTTCATTAGTTGTCGTACGTATTTTAATTTAGTTTTAAGCACTTCATATACAATAAGACAATTAAACATTACGGTACTTAAATTATAAATAGTCAAAGGCAAGACAACGTCTGCCGGGTTCAGCTAGTTTTATCTAAAAAATCTATATCTATACTTATTTAATACGCAAGCAGGTTTTTTTGTGACAATTACTCCTCCGAAACTACTGAACCGATTGACATGTTTTTGGTGTCATTGGAAAGAGCGTAACTTGAAGTTGTGCAGGAAACTTTCTTTTTAGGGAAATAATTAGAGAGTGAGGCCCTGGGGCCCTTTAAAGTTTCGTATTTCTCCATAAGGATAACATGGGAGATAATTTTTATTTACATAAACATATGGTTGTTTCTTGAAAATAGTCACTACATAATAATTGCTGAGTATTATGACTGTTAATGTATATTACATTTCAATCAAGGATTGTGTACCTTAAAGTTTACTCATAATGGATCTTACTACTTTATTTTAATGCTGGGAATGGTAAAATTCAGTTGAGAATAAGTTACCATGATTTAGAAAAATTTAATATAATGATTTATGTATTTAAAATCACAAATCCTTGACAATATTAATTCATTTGAAACTAAACAGCTGATCAACAAATCAAACAAATCATCTACTTCATGTGAATAATATTGTTACACAAACATAATTTTTGTTAACCAATAACTTGATTCTTTTTTACTTGTGGGTGTATTTTGAGTTTGCAGTTATGATAGCACTAAGCCAAGTAACTTTTATCTAATTTTTTTTATAAACTAACAGTATTAATGAATTACTACATGGACTTGACAATTTATTGTCAGTATACCAAGGGAAAGAAGGGCGGGTCCGCGAAAACAGACGAAGGCGGAGACACCCATCTAGAAAATCCAACTGAGTTTTTAAATATACAATAGAGGTCAGTGGATTGCCAAGACACAGATTAGACTAATAAAAGGGGGCAGTGGTTTTATTGATGAGGAATATTAATACATCAAAAAGGGCCTCATTAATGGGACAAGGCTTCATGTGATCAGAACGGTTAACAACTTAATAGAATGAAAAGTCCTAACTGGAACAAGTGAGTGGGGACATATTTTGATTTCGAGGATAATAATTTGCCCGTCTGAAACAAACTTACCTTTTAAAATGGAAAGATGCTAATTTCTGTTATCTTTGGCATTTGCAGCACAAGCACTTTAATTAAAGAGCAGCATGGTTCTACCCAGACCAATTTCAGTGCATGAGCAACTATATTATATGTTGTTTTAAGTAAGGCAACATCTTTTAATAGGATACGCATATTCATTACGGAAAATTCTGACCAGGGTAATATTCCTTAAGGTAACATTATTACTAAAATCGTAGTAGGCCTATTCATGGAAGTGCTTTTGTGAAAAAAATTTTGTTTTGTAGTGTTTATTTTTTAAAGTGTTTTCTTCAAGCAGCATTTTATGACCCTCAAAATATGCTACACAGGCCTATTGGTTTGATATGATCAAATTGTTTGTTGAATCTGTTT